AGGACGCGGCCGGAGGAGGGAGGAGGGCGCGGAAGGAGGAGGAGGGATGCCGCATACCGATGAAGGAGAAGCGAGGGCGGCAGCGGCAATGTGGTGGTGGGGGAGGGCCATACGTCATTGGTGGCGGCGGACGACGTGCGTGGGAGAGTGAGAGTGAGAGTGGAGAGGGGGAGAGTGAGGGGTGGTTGGGGGAGAAGGTATGATGGTTTTAGCAGTAGCGCGTGTTAGGGGAAAGCGCTACTGGTAAACTACTTAGCAGTAGCGCATTTCAGGGTATGCGCTACTACTACACTTTGCCTAGCAGCAACGGTTTGGCAATTTTAGTAGTAGCGCCCTTCGTCCTTGTCGCGCTACAGCTATATCTGTAGCAGCAACGCCTTATGTGGATACGCGCTGTGCTAAGTACCAGTAGCGCTTCTTTTTAACCCCCGCTACTGCTAACGTTCTATGTATAAGGGCATGTACAATGGTGCTATCTTAGGAGTGCCACATAGGATAGATGATGAGGTGGAAGAGAGAGAACTCGTAAGAAAAGGCTTGTCTTCTCTTACAAGAGGTGATCTCTTAGCACAATATGTCTCACCATATTTTTAGGAATTGCTAGTTATTGAAGATAAGGCTAAGAAATGATCCATTATAAACAAAAAAAATTGTCATCTCTAAATCATATGCAAGACTTAAGATAGAACTATCTTGTCAACCATTGTACATGCTCTAAAGTTTTCCCTAATAGTGCCGGGTTGTGCTCGTCCTTCCCTGATGCCCCAATGGTGCATTACTCCACCACTAAATCGTGTCGGAGAGAGATGGTGGTGATGGTGGTTGTACACTCGGCAACGAGCTGGCCCTTGGTGGCTGTGTGCTCCGTGTAAGATTTATTAAGTGTCTAGAAGGGATGGGAGGTGATGAATAGAAAAAAAAATAGAAGCTATTCATAAATTTAGGTTTTTCTACAGTAGTCTGTGAAGCATCTTACACATGCAAGTCTACAAGAGTAAATGTAGAAAAAAGTGTAGACTTGCAAGAGTAAAAGTGAGAGTAGAGTCAGAGAAATGCAAACACGGGGAGACTCAATGAAGATTTTACCCATGGTTTGGATAGTTGGTGCTATCCTACTGTACGGTGATGGAGGCTCCAATCCAGGAAGATCTAAGATCACAGCGGCAAGGTCATGAGTTCCACAAAGGAGCTAGTCCATGAGGGACAATCATCGACAAAGGAGCAATGCCATCATTGTTGGGGAACGTTGCATAAAATAAAATTTTTCCTACGTTCACCAAGATCAATCTATGAGTTCATCTAGCAATGAGAGAGGGGAGTGCATCTACATACCCTTGTGGATCGCGAGCGGAATCGTTCAAGAGAACGAGGTTGAGGGAGTCGTACCCGTCGTGATCCAAATCACCGGAGATCCTAGCGCCGAACGGACGGCACCTCCGCGTTCAACACACGTACGGTCAGCGTGACGTCTCCTCCTTCTTGATCCAGCAAGGAGGAAGGAGAGGTTGATGAAGATCCAGTAGCACGACGGCGTGGTGGTGGATGCAGCAGGGATCCCGGCAGGGCTTCGCCAAGCGTCTGCGGGAGAGAGAGGTGTAGCAAGGGGGAAGAGAGGCGCCAAGTGCAAGGGTGCGGCTGCCCTCCGTCCCCCCCTCTTTATATAGGGTCCCCAGGGGGGGGGGGCGTCGGCCCTAGGAAATTGAATCTCCAAGGGCGGGCGGCGGCCAAGGGGATGCCTTGCCCCCCAAGGCAAGTGGAGGCGCCCCCTCCGCTAGGGTTCCCAACCCTAGGCGCAGGGGGGGCCAAGGGGGGGGGGCGCAGCAGCCCACCAGGGGCTGGTTCCCCTCCCATTTCAGCCCATGGGGCCCTCCGGGATAGGTGGCCCCACCCGGTGGACCCCCGGGACCCTTCCGGTGGTCCCGGTACAATACCGGTGACCCCAGAAACTTTCCCGATGGCCGAAACTCGACTTCCCATATATAATTCTTTACCTCCGGACTATTCTGGAACTCCTCGTGACGTCCGGGATCTCATCCGGGACTCCGAACAACTTTCGGTTTGCTGCATACTTATATCTCTACAACCCTAGCGTCACCGAACCTTAAGTGTGTAGACCCTACGGGTTCGGGAGACACGTAGACATGACCGAGACGGCTCTCCGGCCAATAACCAACAGTGGGATATGGATAACCATGTTGGCTCCCACATGCTCCTCGATGATCTCATCGGATGAACCACGATGTCGAGGATTCAAGCAACCCCGTATACAATTCCCTTTGTCAATCGGTATGTTACTTGCCCGAGATTCGATCGTCGGTATCCCAATACCTCGTTCAATCTCGTTACCGGAAAGTCACTTTACTCGTACCGTAATGCATGATCCCGTGACCATACACTTGGTCACTTTGAGCTCATTATGATGATGCATTACCGAGTGGGCCCAGAGATACCTCTTTGTCATACGGAGTGACAAATCCCAGTCTCGATCCGTGTCAATCCAACAGACACTTTCGGAGATAACCGTAGTATACCTTTATAGTCACCCAGTTACGTTGTGACGTTTGGTACACCCAAAGCACTCCTACGGTATCCGGGAGTTACACGATCTCATGGTCTAAGGAAAAGATACTTGACATTGGAAAAGCTCTAGCAAACGAACTACATGATCTTGTGCTATGCTTAGGATTGGGTCTTGTCCATCACATCATTCTCCTAATGATGTGATCTCGTTATCAATGACATCCAATGTCCATAGTCAGGAAACCATGACTATCTATTGATTAACGAGCTAGTCAACTAGAGGCTCACTAGGGACATGTTGTGGTCTATGTATTCACACGTGTATTACGATTTCCGGATAATACAATTATAGCATGAATAAAAGACAATTATCATGAACAAGGAAATATAATAATAATCCTTTTATTATTGCCTCTAGGGCATATTTCCAACAATCATGGCATACGCCCATGAAGGACTAGCCTCACTCGGGATAGATCTACACAAAGTAGGCAATCTTCGGGCGTGTACAATCTTCTTGGTGTCTTCACAAACTCGAAGACTCCCAACTACCTAGCTGATCTAGGAGGCACGCACCCCCCCAATAGTAATAAGATTGAGCCTGGTTGGCAATGAATCCCTTGCTTTTGTGCTTCAAAAGATAATCTCCTCTCCACTCAAAATCTCTCAAGATTTGGCTTTTGGATTGGAGAAGTTGGAGTGGAAAGCAAAGAGGGATTATATTTCAAAGGCTTGGCTTGATGATTTGAGTGAAACACTGTTTGAAATCAACACAAGATGGTGGATTTCTCTCTCTGAAGATATGATATGAGTGGGGTTAGCTTCTACTGAACTGATGTTATATGTGGGGGATATTTTAAGGCTGGTCCAAAAATTTGACCGTTACACACTTTCGAACGTTGCTCAGAGGCTCCAGAGTAATCATCTTAATGTGATGGAAAAATAAAAAGGTGGCAACTCTTTGGAGGCTTCAAGAAGACCACCTCAGTAGTTGCACGCTCTCTGCAACCCCTTTGGAAAATCCGAGTGAGGAGTTTTGGAAATTCCGAGAGGACAACAGAAGGTTTACCAAATGCATTGGTGGTTCTGAATGGAATACTTGCCGGCCCTAATGTGCCAGGGTTTGAAACAACTATATCTAGATGAACTACTCGGTGGTTTCGACTGGAACAGCTTGGCAGCTCTGAAATATGGAAATGTAGGTAGATATAGTGGAGAAAATAAATGTTTTTGCAAGCATTGGATTTTAATTTTTAACCACTATGAGAAAGAACTTATCATAATATCCTCATTTCCCTTTTAATAATATCATCATGCATATGGACTCAATGTGATTTAGGATCATTAAAATGAAACAGCTAAGTCATTGGCTTGTCCATAAATTTGTGCAATATTCTCAATTTGCTTTTGAACCAAATGCACAATCATTTGGGTACATGAAAAACTCTTCTATAACACATGGACCTTGGTGAAGTGCATTTGAAATATAAGAATAAATAAAATACATACACAACCAAAAGAAAATATGTCAATGACCTCAGAGGATTAACTAGAAATAAACAAGTAGCTTAAGTGCATATGTAGCATACAAGTTTAGGTTACCACATAAGAAATTAAGAGTTTACATACCACATAAGAATCAAGTAGAAGTTGCAAGACGGTGTAACTCAACAAAACGAACACTCTCCACACAGTGAAACTAGTCTAGATCCGTGACATCTCTCCCTTTGGCCTCAAGATTCAAAAAGAAGAAAGAGTCCTATAGGGCTCTCAAAACTCTATCGATGGGCAGCGGAGATGCAGTCTTGGGGTTGGCACCGTCTATTTATGTTGAGGGGGTGGAAATGAAGCCATCTACAAGCTATCGGGCAGCGGCTGAAGAAGTTGTAGTGGCGGCAGGAGGGGTTCCAACTGCAACGGCGGTAGACCTCTGAGTTTTAGTCCTTGTTTGCATCACAAACTGATCTATGTTTATTCTTCTTCTGCGGCTGCTTCTTCAAACTGAGCAACTACTGCCACACACTTGGGTCTCTACCTCTTTGGTGAAGTTTTATTGGTTCTTGGCAAGGTTAGCTAGGCATGATGTTAGAACCTACACTATAATTGCGGAAACCATTTTGGTTAGTCCATAGTAGCATGAGAGTCATCATTATACTTCTGTGCATTTCTTGTGTACTATTGTTTTAGCCAGGCTTGGGATTTTATATATATGGTAAACTGTGTCTATGACTTCATATACAATTTTTCTAGGATAATGCTATTGTGCGATATAATGATGTCTTTGAATTTCTTACATGGAATTAACAGTGTTTTTCTGCAACGGAATTAATAGGTTGTTCCTCATGAAGCAATTGATAGTGATGATGATCCTGACGGTGTTGTGATTTTAGCACCATTTGAAAAGAATAAACAGGCAGTTGGATATCCTCTGGGTTGGCCAAAGCATGTGAAGGTAAATTCCCTCATGTGTTTCTCTTGCCATATTATTTGCTTGCATACTCTGACAGATGCTTTCTCGGGGAAAATTGCAGACTAGTGTTGCTGGTGACAGTGCCGGACCAAGCACCAATGCTTCAAACAATACTGCCATTATGGGTGGTTTAAAGGAGGATGTGGACAACACAGTTGACCCTGATTTTGACGATGACACTTTGGATAACTTCGGGGAAGTAGACCGTGTTTCTGAGGAAGATGAGTACGATAAGTTTGATGACTGGGATATCCAGCCTGGAGCGGAAGCTTCTTTACCATGGCTGCAGAAGACTGACGCTGAAGTGTCATATAATAGTAGAACACCCATCCCAATCTTGGTTGATGAAAAATACAACACATTTAAACAGTTCGATACTGTTGATGATCATAGTGATCATTATTATTCGAAACCAGAGTTGTGGAAAGCTCAGGTAGTGAACGAGGTAATGGTTTTGACATGCCCTGTTTATTCTTTCCCATATTATATCAGTACTAAGTTGTCCTATTGACAGCCATCAAATGACTGGGTGATGCGCATTCAACATGAGTGTGAAGTCTTAGGAAAAGACTTGCCAGGTACGTAGTTAGCTCTTGCTTCTTATGACCTTTTCCATTTTACTTCCTCTTGGTACTAACTTTTCTCATCAGTATCATGATTATGTTCACCTTTTATGATTATGTTTTGCTTTTATGCTTATGTTTTGATTTTCTCCAAATTTAACAGGTAGTATATTCGTGAGGGCATACAAGGATAGAATGGACCTTCTTAGAGCTGTCATCATGGGACCAGCATACACTCCTTACCATGATGGGCTGTTTTTCTTCGACATTTACTTCCCTCCTCATTATCCAAATACACCTCCAGTGAGATTTTATTTTCAGCTCCATAAATGATTGTTATTCTTTTTTAGTTTGCCTTTAGGCTCCGTAGAATAATGAGTTTATTCTATGCAGCTTGTGAACTACCGTTCTGGTGGGTTGCGGCTTAATAAAAACATGTATCCTTGTGGGAAGGTATGCCTTGGCCTCTTAAACACTAGGCCTAGTGGTGGATGTGACAAATGGAATCCATCCAATTCAACCATGCTGCAAGTCCTTGTCTCCATTAAGGATTTGGTGTTGAATGGCAACCGTTATTTCGGCTCGGCTGCGTATTCAGCCTACACAACTAGTGGGGAGAAAAGATCCCTAACGCATAATGAAAATAGTTTCCTGCGGTCCTGCAGGATGATGTTGTATTCTCTTCGAAACCCACCAAAGGTATGGATGTACCTCTGCTTATTCTAGTCTTTATCTTTATCTTTACCTAATAATAAAGCAAATTGGGTTTCTGGTCGTCCGTTGTACATTTTGCAAAAAAGCCTCTTTATTTTCTGTAAATAAACCCGCGGTACACGTTTAAGTCACTCCCGAACCGGTTTTTTTGCATTTTCTCGTAAAACTCCCTGATGTTTTAGGTAATCAACCCGCCGTCCATATATAAGTCAACCGAATCATTTTTTGTTTTTACATAAAACCCCCTGCCTTTTTGGTTAATCAATCCGCAGTTTATCTAAAACAAAATTATCAATATCTTTTAAATCGTAACTCCGATTTTAACATGTTATATATGAAACTTGATTAAAAAATGTGTAGAATCTAAATACGGTGCTATTTTTAGCTGTTAAATATGTTATATATTATTTTTTTGTGAACTTAATCTAGAATGTGCGATCCGTTTTTCTTTCTTACTGATAGAGAGGAAAGAAAACATCGATAACCACGCATGCACATCTGTGAAAAACCTTGCGGGGAAAAAGAACATATTTCTCATTTTATTTCGAGCGAGTGTGCGTGATAGAGAGACGCCTTAGAACTGACCGAATTCAAACACGCTTTCGTTGTGTGAGCACTGAGACCACCATCAACAACATAAATGTGATGCCATGTGAAAATAAAGGACGTGAACACATTAGGATCTTAGGTCATGGTTATTGGGTTAAGAACGTGTGTTATTTACTCTCCCGTTGCAACACACGGGCTCTTTTGCTAGTTACTGCAAAAGCGACTAATTGTTTCCTAAACAGTACTACTATTGGAAACCCATGTAGTCATGTCTAGTTGGCAACAAGCACGGATTGTGATAGATCTGTGGACATCTGTCTTATTTATGAATACTTTTTATTATAGCCAAATGTTCTCTTGTTTGGAAGAAACAAAACAGAGAAGTTTGCTCCTTTGATGAAAATATGGACGGCGAGGATGGAATGTGTAGTAGTATGGTAGTAAAGCGTGGATTTTTCATACCTTCTATCTAGACCATTCAGTTTGCGTCAAGATTCGTGCTATCCTAATATAAAAATTTATCATTTTTGTTTCTTCCAAACAAGTGAACATTGGACCTTGAAACTTTCTGAGTTAACTGTACATGACTTTCACCTTTGTATAAAATGTTTCCAATTTTGTTTATGAATTATAAACTTGTCAAATTTCAAATTTGAATGAGTTGAACATTTTTTAAAGAAAATATTGTTCCGCAAATCCGGAAACAATTCTGCACATGGTAGTACTTGTATGATGTTGATCTGCAAACATTCGACTTCAAAACCTTATTTTATTTGGTAGAAACAAAAATGAGAAGTTTGCTTCCACCGACTTTGATGCAAAAATGAGCGGTGAGGCTAGAAGGTGTAGTGGTATGGTAGTGCAATCACAACTTTCCCTGCTATATTGAAGCTACCGTCAGATAGTATTTGTTCATACAGTGCATTGAATCCTGTGACCTAAATGTGGATGCGTTTTCTGCAGCATTTTGAGGATTTCGTTGCTGGTCATTTCCGCAAGCACGGGCACAACATCCTCGTGGCTTGCAAAGACTACCTGGACGGCGCCCACGATGGACGTCATTCACTGCATTTCGGTATGTGGGATTGGAGGATGATGGACGACAAAAGCTGCTCGCTGAAGTTCAGGACGCTGCTGAAGAGACTGTTCGAGGAGTTGCTGATTGAGTTCAGTGAGAAGGGAGCAGACTGCGACGAGTACCTATCAGAGAAGGCGAAGTAATGCGCCGCCTCCACCTCTGGAGCGCCTCCGGCAGACGTCTAGCGCGCCAGCCATAATGGAAGCAATAATTTTTAGCCGTCGAAGCGATTCTAGCGATAACTCCTGTCTTCTACTATAGGAGGAGCCCTAGCCACGAGAAAATCTAATTGTTTTTGTGTATGTAGTCTATGCACATATTCCCCCGCCTAGCTCTCCCGGTGAACATAATCTGCATGATCCATCCATGTTTTAGGAACAAATATCATCGTCATTATCATCTATAAGACTATGATTGATTGCTGTCACCATCCTAGGCTTAGTACTACATATATGGAGTTTGTCAGCATGTCCCTGCCTCACCGTTCTTCGGAACCCAGGCAGGCAGGTTTATGCATGTCCATTCTGTGGTGCTCTGGTCTGTCCCAATCGCTTTGCACCAAGCGTGTGGATCTCTCCCATCAAAGTAGTGAGGCGCATGGGGCAGTTGTTAATCGACTCAATTTCCTTCATCTATAATTTGTCAAATTGACGCTTCAACACTTGTGTCCGAGCCTTCGTGACGCGATCTTCTTCAATCCCCATCTCTTTGAGTGTGTTCCTTCTCTTGCCGTTTCGAACTCCGCCAATGTCATCAGCACAAAATCCGGCACACACTGGGCTATGGTGGCCATGACACCTTCGACACACTCCGCGTCGACATCGTTGTCCGTGATGGCCTCCCGCACTCGAAGGGTTCGGATAATAATCTTCATCTTCACTGTCCACACGCCGTAGTTGGAGTCGGTGAGCATCGGGTACTGGATGAGGATGTTGCGATGCGCTAGTACGTTTGCGCCGCCCGTTCCGCTACCACTAGTCCTGAATTGCCGCCCTTCTTCACCTTTTCGTTTTTCTTGTTCGCCTTGAAACCATTGTTGCCGGACTTGGAGTTGACTAACTACTTGTCATTGTCCACCATCATATATGGTAGTTCGTAGATCGTAGAGACTCTAGATACCAGTTGTTATTTTCAAAGCCCTAGATCAAATCGTCCCGAACCTAATACACGTTTGTGCGCAAGCTAGCCTCAAGAAGCAAGCAAGCACACAGTTTGATCGATGAACAGTAGCCGCACGCACGTGCAACTTTTTTTTGAACGGACCAGCTGATGGCTGGCATATATTGATATCATAGCAGGAAGCATGCGGGAAAAAAAGGTGGTGTTCGATCTAGCGATCAAGGAAGAAAAAGAAGCACTGGGAAGATCCCAAAAAAAGCTAGCCAAGGGCTAGACTAGCATGTTGATCCCTCAGGGAGGGTCCCAGAAAGGGTGCTCTAGGTGAACTGCTCCTGCTTGGCGCCATAATTCGAATGTCCTTCTTATGCTCGCCATGGTTTCAGTCGTGTTTGCTATCTTTTGCCTGAAGGTGCACTCGTTTCGTAGATGCCAAATGCCTCCCAGCACTAGAACGATCATTGTCTTGACTCCCTTCTTGCGCTCAGGCCTTGCACCGTTCATGAGTTCAGCTATAATCTCCACGGCTTTGCTCTTGTGTTGCCAATTTGTGGGGTGCATGGAACTGCATCCGTTCACTTGAGCAGTTCTTGTCCAGATTTCCGCTGAGAAAGGGCACTGCCTTGCGAGATCTCCAGATTTCTAAGGCAAAGTTGGAAGAAATACTCATTGGGCCATCCGCTTCTTTGGAGCTGATCATTGCACCATAGTCTGTTCTTGAGCAGCAGCCAGACCATAAATTTCAGCCGGGCCGGTGCCCAAACCTACCATGGCATCTTTCTGAAATTTGTCTTGATCATCCCTTGGAATTGGCAACTGTATGCCGAGCTGGTGGAGAAAGATTCCGAGGACGTATGCTTCCATCTAATTGTGTCTTGCAGCTGATCGTTTAGGCTCAGGTTCTTCGAGATGAGCCATCTGTTCAGGCGGATCACCTCAGGCCATAGCTGTTGCGTGTTCCCGTGAGCCAGATCGACAATCCAAGTGTCATTTAGTAGTGCAGCATGGACGGTCCTATTCTTTCTTCTTGAGTGCTTGTGGAGCTC